GTGTGAGCTGGTAAATGGAGATGCACTTCAAAGCACATCTGAAATGAGTAAGAAATTTTTCTTTAAGGGTTGAGGCTTTTTGGGGCAGGAGATACACCCGTGAGTAGGTGAGAAGAAAACCCTAGTACGTTGCTAGTAGTACTGAACACTATTTGTATAAATAAGGTATCTTAAATATAGATCTAAGAAAAAAAAAAAAAAACAAACTCTTTACTTACCCACCAAGTTTCTTCCCATAGACAACAGCATCATCGACAAGTTCCTGATAAGCTGGCATCTGAGCAGCAGCTAGTATCAGAGATGGGTTTGTGGTGGCATCCAGGGGCTTGTACTCGTCAATTGCTAAGAAAATAAAAATAGCCAATTTAAAACAAACAGCAAGCCTGAGCAATTGAAAGGAGTTTGCTCAAATATGTGAGAATGTAAACACTTCTGGCTGGAGGATAGTAGCGTTCATGACACAGCAGACTAGTGCACAGTGATGTTTAAATACCGCTGCCTGAAGGCTGTCTTGTGCCAGAAGTACTAGAACAAGGTTAACAGCTACCGTGATAAAATACAGCAAAGTTTATTCCCTACTATAGACATTGCCCAAAAGAAATAAACTTGCAGAAATGACAGATGAAGAGAAGCGGTACTAACTTTCAACTTCTCCCATCTGTCCATGTCATATTCACCAGCATAACCGAGTTCCAGGAATCGCAGTGGGGAAGTGAAGACAAGGGGATCTTTCTTCTCTTCTAGGAGTTAGGCATTTGGGTTTGTGTTTGTCTACAGCTGTTAGAACCAGAGCAGGAGAACAACTCCTCTGTTAGGCTCTAGCAACTTTCCTTACTGCATTTTAAAACTTTTTCAAGTAGTTGCAGACCATTTCTTATTATCTGTTCTTGTAATTTCCTTGTATTACCAGGCTTCCTTCCTGACAGGAGATATTTGACCCTTTGGCTTACCTTAAGCCCTGGACTACACCTATTTCAGGTGATAGCAGTTGTTTACCAGAGCAGGCTGTGACCGTGCAGGGCTGGCCCTGATCACAGCTGAGCTGCCCTGCACGCAGAGACTGACTCAGCAAAGGGGGGAGAGCCTCTGCAGGCCCTTCAGTGATTTTTGGTTACAAGCTCTGTTGTTACCACAGCTAAATGTCAAAAATAACAAAATATTTATTACCAGCTCAGTTTTCTCAGTGTTTTTACACAGGGATGAAAACCCAAGTTAGAGAGTACAACTTATTTTCTTCTATAACTTAAAAAATAAAGTATTGTTTTTCCATAGCTCCCTCCTAAGCAATGATCATGATCCTGGAGCAAGTCCATTCCATACAATCAGGTCCTTCAAAACACACTCTAATTAATTTTAAAACCCAATTTAATTTTAAAATGAAGCAGTACACCGATGAAACTCATTTCTGAAGCATATGCACAATTTTAGAGAAGTATATTTTGACAGCTTTTTCCTTCTTTGCAGCCTTGCGGCAGTTGAAGACTGTTACAGGTCTCTGGCAACATGCATAAATTGATCTCCTTATATCTGTCACCCAGTTTTCCCCACCCAGTCTTCCTTTAGGTCTGTCAGAAAGCATTTAGCAGCCCGTGTTTGAGCTGTGCAGTACAGGCTTTCAGTGGGGGATCCATGACCTTCTCTCATTGTGAGCACAAAGCAAGCCAGGCAAAAGAGTAAGTGTGTTCTGGTCTAACTTAGTTAAAAGGCAAACCTAGAGCAGCTACTAGAGGCACCACCCCTTACTGATGGTACTTGCTTCATGAGCCATTCAGACCAGCATCCCTTCCTGCACAGCACCTTACTGACACGTTTATCTAGAAATAAAACTGGGAACTGGTGTTAGCAACAGTGGCACTTTAACCGGCATCAGTATTTAATGGGAACAGGGAGGGAGCCAGATGCTGACTTGAGCCCTGGCTGCACAGTAAGAAGGATCCACTGGTGGCAACAGGCAGCCAGGGATCCATCAACTGCAAAACTGTTCCCAGGAGCTTGTTAAAACTTTCCCGTGGGCAGCGTTCAGCCTCCTCACTGCCACCTGTACAAACATCCCATTGGCTGTCACAAGGATTTTTTTTTTTTTTTTGCATGCTTTTTTGAAGCCAGGGTACTGTTTTAAATTAATGCAGTTTCAGCACAGGCTGGGCTTTACCCAGGTTTGTTGCTACTCAAAGGTACGCGAATCTGACAAGGCTGAGTTATCTAGTGACGCAGTGTTTCCAGCTCTCTTGACGCGATGCTTGATGAAGCTGCATCAATGCTCAGACCCTGTCCTGGTGTGGTGGTTGTGTTTTGTGTCAGATGGACTCTTAAAGACAAGCTACAGTTTCTCTGTAACGTTTTGTGCAGCCTGACACTTGAAATTGAGCAATCCAAAGCATTTAACAGATGTACGTTGCCTAGAGTTAGAGCAAGTATGTAAATACACACAGAGTGTCACTAGGCATGTGTCTGAGGTGTTGCTACCCCTGTGCACGCTCCATCTTAAATTTACTAATAGAAGACATTTGACAGCTGCCATTTAGGATTGTTTATTCATCACCTGTGGGATTAGGTAAGCAGCAGACAGATTACTGAAAGCCTGGGTGATGGCAGAACAGGATTCAAGCATTGCTCTGTGCAACCCAGACATTCAGGGGAGGGATTTTTCAGTTCTGATGTACCAGGAACGTTGCATGCCTGTGCAGGCACTCAGGCAGTGACAGCTTTGGGACAAGTGGCTTTATAATTGCACACCACCTCCCTTCCTCAGAAAGGAGAAGGCTTGCTCATTCTCACGAGATAAGGAAAACAAAAGCACTCTTGCATTATTATTTTCTTTGCTTCACAACTGCTTTGCTTCCACCATTGGAAAAAAAAAAAAAAAAAAGAGGGGGGGTGGGAGGAGAGAAAAATCTACAGTGGTTATTGAAAAATATAACTTTGTTAGCCTCATAGAACTTATCATGTGGAGTCTGGCACTTACTAGTAACAGCACGTAGCGCTGCCCATCGGAGTTTGTGCCCACGGTAGGGCAAACTGGAAAAAAAAGTGTCACTGGAGGGCCTGACAAATGGGCTGGATGGGCCCCACGAGCCGTAACCGGCTCCCCTGGCACTCGGGGCACCGGGAGCCGCTCTGGCTGTCAGTCGCCCAGCAGCCGGTAACCCACGGCCGCCTCCCGGAGCCCAGCCCAGAGGCCACGGGGGTGGCCGCGGGCACCCCACCCCGCGTTAGGTAACGGCGCCTTTCCCAACACCGGCCTTGTGCAACGCGCCGGCACCGAGCAGCTGCCCCCCCCGCCCCTCCGGGTGGTTCGCTCCCCCGCGGGCGCTCGCCCCTTCGGCCGGGCGCGCCCACTATCCGCGGAGGGGGTGTGCGTGCGTGTGTGTCCCGCCGCCGCCTCTCACCGTTGAAGTCCCCGGTGTCGGCCACCACGGTGGTGTGGTGCTTGAGCTGGTCCAGCACCGACTCCATTTTCTGCCGCTTTACGGGAGACACCGACATAATCCGCACAACGAAGCGGGAGGGTTCGCGCCGCCGAGGAGGAACCGCGCGCTGCTCGGAGGGGAGCCGGCCTGCGCGCGCACCCGCCGCTCGCTCCCGACATCCAGCCCGCCCGCCGCCAATCCCATCCCAGGAGGGAGGCGGACAGCCAATCAAGAGCCCGGAGACAAGACGGGGGGAGGGTGCCGGGGTAGGAAGGCAGTTTCTGATTGGGTCGTTTCCGGCCTGTGAGGGCTGAGGGGGTGGTCACCTTGACGACAGGGGATGCCGCCGCCAGTCCTTCCCCTCGGCGGGGAGAGGGGGAGCGCGGTCCGTTGGGCAGTCGCTGTCCGGGTGGGCTGAGGGGACTCTCCTGTCCCCAGCAGCTCCCGTGGGGTCTCCTCATGGCCGGGCATGGCTCCCGAGCCGCCCCCTCAGACATCCGGCCCTCCTGTGCCTCTCCGGGACAGGGCTCCGCCGGTGACAAGATGGCGGCGGGAGGGTTGGAGAGGGCGAGGCGTTCGCCCCGTGGAGCAGCCTTGAGGAAAGACTCGCAGCTGTGCAACGCCTGCGTTAACCTATTGCCGGAGCCAAGCGGTGTGTTTGCTCCCTCGCTGTCTGGGCAAGGCTCAACACTGAGAGCCAGAGCTCTAGCCTGCACTGGTGTGCCAGAGAAAGCCCCCCTAATCCAGTCAGGCATGCGTTCTTGGTCACCCACAGCTGTTCATTCGCCTAAGCTTCATTTAAGTTCCAACCCTGTTAACATGATTGTACTTCTGAAACAGGGAATGGGATTTGGCTGGAAATGTTGCAGTCTGCCACTTGGCCTTTAAACAGAGGCTCTTTGGATCATGCTGTTCCCTTCGTTTTATCTTGTATTGTTTCAATTGTGGAAGCTGCCACAGTAATTTCCCTTCCTCATACAGAAGGATATGCTTTGGTACAACCTCCTCATGCTTTGTCCAACCTGAAGAGAGGATAATGGCAGGAGGCATAAGGTTTAAGTCCTGTTTGAATTCTGTGACTATGTAGGAAACATGTTCTCATTGTCTCCAGAGCCCTTTGCCAAGGCATGAGAGCCTCCCTTGTATATCCCATCCCTTGTCTTTGTTCTCAGCCCTGTGTTAGCTGGCATTGACCAGGGTTGGGTGTTTCTAGATTGCCAGTGCAGAGTGTAGTCTTGGACACTCTGTGTAAATGCTGGCATGTTGTCTCAGTTACATGTTCCAGAGGTGAGAGAGATTTGTTTTTCAAGATAATGAGAAAGGGGATGTTTTGGATTCAGCTAGTAGCTCTCCCAGCATTTGATTGCTATCGTATGTGGGATTTTCAGCTACTCCTGTTTTTAGATATGAATGATTATCAAGGCCATAACATCCTTCCTTTTGAATGGAACCTCCCCAGAATCAAAAAAACAGGTGATTTCAGATACTCTGCTGTGTATCTTTGAGCAACAAGTCATGCTGAAAGCCAGCCTTTAATAACTGTTTCTGTGTCCTGTTGCTTTCATTTATATCCAAGAGACGGAGATGGAGTTAGAAGTATAACTTAACTATTTTAATAAATCTTATACAGTGCATGGTTATATCATTTTATCCTTCGTTCAATTACATTATTGTACAGTACATTATAGCGTTATCTGCAGGCAGTACAAATATAACAGATGCACAGCTCAGTCATATGGAAATTTTTAAAAGTGACTTCTGCAATAAGGTCTACTGATATATTTATTTTACGAAATGCTCCCGTGGCTCCGGCTTTACAGAACTGTTGTGTACACATCTATTATAATCCCAAGTAACTATAATTCTGTGTGATTTGTTTTCCTTTATACCCAAAGACAAGAATGGTGGTGTGTTTCCTAGCTCACCATTTGTTTTTATTTTTATTTTAGAAATTATTTAGCCTCCTGTGGTTTTAACACCAATGGTTTGCCAGCATTCACATCTGCTTCTCATCTCCACCCTAATCCAGGGCTTCTCAGGAGGATTGTCCTCTTCATCCCTCCCTGACAAGGTGAGTACCCTTTGCAAATTCCAGCTGCTGTGGCAAGCCAGCAGTTGTGACTAAAAACGTGATCCTCTCCTGTAAATTCCCTGCCTGCACCTTAATTCTGCTATTGCTAACAGTGTCCTATGTCAAGATTAAGAAAATGTATCATCCATTAGAAACATTTTTGGAAGAACAAAGCCAAAATTGAGAGGTGCATCAGTATTATCAGATTTAGACACGTGTTCCCCAGCCACTACTTCACAACCGTACAGCTTTTTCCATTAAATGTGCGAGGACAGGCCCAAACTATGCAAAGACTTAGGCCCATGCTTAACCTTTAAAGGAGGTGGGACCATTCACAGCACGTGAAGGAAAGCCTGTGGGTAAATCTTTGTGGAGTCTGGGCCTGAATTTTCATCCAGCCAAAGCTAAGGTGTGTGAATGAGAGAGAAAGACAAAGTCTTCCTGGTCTGTGAGCAGTTCCTGTAGATGTGTTTGCTTTACTGCATACCTGTCAAGTTGGTCTGTAAGTAAAATACAGATATAAATACAGTGTATGCCAGGCTTGCTGTGGACAGGAAATCTACTATATGCTTGCTTGTGCTTTTAAAACTTTGAGTAAATTATTGATGCATAATCACTTAATTATATCTCTAAGGAAAGGGATTTTTTCCTCATCCCTATTTATAAATTGTAAGAATGAGGGGGTATTTCACTAGATAGATATATACATATGCACATAATGTTATTAGGAAAAACAGGAAGTGAAGAACAACAGCCTCTCCTAAATTAGATTATTTTTTTTCTTGTGGCCATTTATTTCATATTAAAGCAGCCTTTCCAAGCGTGCTGTTGTTTCTTAGACATTTAGGAAGCATTTCAGATTACTCTTTGCAATGAAAACATGAAGGTGGGGATGACTGGTGAACACCCTGGGAAGGGCTTTAGGTGTGACTGGGTTGGGAGCAAATGGTAGGGGCTTATCATCTCCTTGTTTGAGGCCTGGCTTTGGCAATACCGCAACTTGGTGATACAGGATCAGTGCCAAAGTGAAGGGCTGCACAGCTGCCCTGAGCCCCAGCCCCTGAGTAAGCAGGGGTGATCAGGCTGAACTCACCTATGTGCAGATTCAAATCACTTCATTTGTCACTCAGATCCTGCTTGGTATTACGCAATGAAAGCCCGTTTCCATGGTTCAAAGATGGCGCTCACTGGTACCTGTGTTTAAGGAAGCAGCCAGTCTTATGTGTGTTGCAATTTGAGCCTCATCCAATGAGGGGGCATGAGGGGACAGAAGGGGGACAGTGAATTGTCACTGGACCTTTGCTAGTGGGCTGCAGGGGGTATCTGCCACAGAGAAGGAGATGAAAAGTGGGGGAAAAGACTTATTTCCATGGTTCAGACTCTAAGCATTCAGGCTAGCTTGTTCAGTGCTGTGTGCCATGCCCTCTCTTCCCGAGCCATGCCGGCGAGGGGGGTGGGAGCAGGTACAGCCCTACGAGAAAAGCTTTGCAGGGTCTTTTTTGCTTGAATCCAGCCACTGTCGTACATTCAGACACGTGTGAATTCTGATCTGCTCTGATCACATGCACACGAGGAAAGCTTTGCAGGGTCTTTTTTGCTTGAATCCAGCCATTGTTGTACATTCAGACACGTGTGAATTCTGATCTGCTCTGATCACATGCACATAAAATTTCAGTATAAAATATATAGTTATAAAAAATACTTCATGCAATATTAAAACACCTTTCCCAATGGGACGTGGTCTTACTGTCTACCCTTATCAACAGTGTTCAAGAAAGTGTCACTTTGATGGCAATTATACTGTTAAGTGTGGAGCACTGCCATCTCTCCTCTGGACTGGGGATCATTGCTTTCATTCCCTTTTCCTGCACTACTATGACTAATAGCTGAAATAAAGCAGATAGATTTTAATTAGCAGAATCAATCCTTTCCTGGCGACGCTTCATGATTTCTTGGAGCTCTGATTCCCCTCTGCTTTTCTAGAATGGAAAAAAAAGTTGTTTGAATTTTAAGTTCAAGCTGTAGTTAAATTATAATATTGAACTAATGCTGTAAGAGTTGAGTGATACTGGTAACAAGGCAGATTCGTTAGTGGAAATGGGGTGATCTGCCTTACAGATCTGGAGCCTTTTTCCTTAAAAGACTTCTCAGCATTTTTAGGCAGTGTGTTTTTTTGGTGTGGTGTTTTTTTTGTTTGTTTGGTTTGGTTTTTTTTTTTTGTTGTTGTTGTTTTGTTTTGTTTGGTGATGTTTATTTTGGTTTTGTTTTTGTTTTTGTTTTTTTTTTTTAATTGTGTTTCTTAAAAGGTCTGTTTATTGGGATATCTGACACTACTGGTACAGACACCCACTCAGGTAGTTGTCCAGAAAGCTACTTACCTCCAGTAGATTTTTCTCCACTGTGATTTTACTGTATACTCTGTTTCCCTCATCACCACATACTTTTTTTAGCTCCTCTCTGTTAAGGGAGAAGAGCTGAGCTCCGGTAAGGATGCCAAGGTGTTCCACTGTCCTGGGAAGACACAAAGTGAGGAGATGATAATTGTGTTACACGTGGCCTCTTGCCAAAGGTGAGGAGTTGGAGGTAGAAGGGTGAGGAGCAGCTGAGGTCTGCGCCAGGAGCAGAGGGCCCTGGGGCTGCTCCAGGGTGGCAGCTGTTGGGTAACCCAAGCTCTCGTCAGGGATGACAGCAAGCCAGCGTCAACCTGGCATCCACGGTGTCCCCAGCCCCGTGGGTACTGCAGTGATTTTACTCCAGCAGCGATTCTGGAGCTCCTCTTAGCTCTCTCTGTGCAGAGCCTGAGTTGTAGCTCATAACCCTTGACCATGTGCAGCTTTTTGGTCCTTCCCAGCGGCTGGGAAGATTTGCTAGTGCCAGCTGAGGCTCTTCCTCTTCCTCAGAGACAGGCAGTCACCTGGAATTTGCATTTCAGGCCATGAATTTGTTTAGTTAATTAGTTATTTTTCTCTAAGTTCAACACTCTGAACTGCCTAACTGGGGCCAGGCAAGCACCAGCAGTAGGACTTTTGCAGCGCTTGGCTGTGAGTTGTGTGAATAAGCAAGACCATTCATTTATTTGCAGCGACTCATTAAGTCTTTTGCTGCACGATAAGACAAGATTTATTTGATATGTATAAGAAAGAGAGGGAGTAAGTTTGGGCTCTGAATGTACTGGTTATATAGCCTGGATTTAATATGATTGAAATCTAATTTGCAACACAGGCTCTGTAAGTAAATACCAGTGACTTGTAATCCAGTTGAAATGTTGCAAGCTGCCTCCCCCACTCCTTTTTAAATGAAGGACCAGCATTCCATATGGTAGTAAAGCAGATCTTACTCTTTGCTGAATGACTTTGCCTCCAGCCAAGCTTTGACTTCTTCAGTGCTGGATTCAAAGGTGAGGGGCACAAAAACTTGCTGAGGCTTCTCCACTTTGAAATTCCTCTGGGGAGGCTGAATTTTATTGTTTGTGATCTTCTTTAGCAACTCATCATTAAGCTCATCCATTTGATGAATAAGTTCTGGGGAAACAAGGCAGAGAGCGGGGAATGAAATGAAGTCTTCAGTCACAAATCCTATTAAATTAATGTGTTTTCGAGGAAAATGTAAGGAAGATCAAAATGTGGCTCAGCACCTTTATTAACTCTGTAAGCACACCAAAGGAAAGTGCTTACTTTTGTATTTTAGTTTTAAAGAACAAGCTTAAAAGTGCTTTATTGGAACAATAGGTTGAGCAATGACTTTTTGACCTTCAAACTTCCATCAGGAACAAACATGTAAGTGGAGACTGCCACAGTTCTGGAGGCTGGCAGACTGTGGGAATCTCCCATTTCCTCCCAAGCCAATACTCTAAACTTCTTCAGCTTTTGAAACTTGCTTGCTCTCTGGAGAAACCTAGATTTCTGCAGTTCTTCTCCAGAATGATGGAGAGGAAGAATCACAAAGTAACAGCCAAATGCTTATTGTCCACACAGTGATCACTGAATCTGAAAAGCTGCTTCAGGGTTTCTTGCAGCATGACCGTCCCCTAGAACAGGGGCAAGGTTTAGTACATGCACGGTATGAGATTTTGGCCTCATTGCTTCAGCAACATCCATTAGGCTAATTGGAGAGTCTTGGAACAACTGCTGCAGTTCCTGGGAGAAAGGAAATCTCTGGGTCTGATGTTGACCAGCACTGGTACAGCCGTCTAATTTCTAGAGAAATGTGCATTCTCTGACATGGTACATACCAGCAGACTGACCTGTCTCATTTAACAAGCACATATTCCCCAGTCCACGTTTAACTGAGTAGAGATTGGTCTGCTGTGAAAAAGGAGAGCTGACATCTGCAGAGGCACTTGCTTTTAGCCAGCAGGAGCAAAACTCTACCCATCAGTCTGCCTGGAAAATTCTTGTTCAGAAGCACTTATTGGGGGAAAAGTGTGTCATATTTAGCAAAATAGTAGGAAAACATTTTGATAAGAACACATTCATTTTGCGTTACTGGTGTCTGTAGCAGGTGCTGGTAGGGACCTATATTTTCATCTGTTTTATATATAAATTTATATTTAGATCAGGTTTTTTTCTCATGTTGCTTAACCTATCCTGTTCATCACACCTCATGCAAAGGACATAAAACCTTGCAACACCAGCTAGCAGAAGTTTGCTCAAGGGTGCAACACCTGATCTGGCAGTGTCTTTGCTCCCACCGGTACTGTCAAATGGTGACAAGGGACAGGGTCCCATTTCCCTGATGTCTGGTGTTGCTGTTGTGTTTTTGCTTTGTCATCTTCCTGTTTTTGAGTTACTTAGTTCCTTTTGGGCTATTGAAATAAGGAAATCGCCTGCAAACTTAGCAGCAGGGCGGGGAGAAAACCCAGACCACATGAGAGAGCAGAGGTCAGGGAGGCCTGACTATCTGTTCCTGAGAACAAGATTCCCATTTTTCTGTGCCCTTGTGTTGCCATTTATTTTCTTTCCATTGCCCCTTCACAGTTGCCTGATGTGGAAGGCCAGTTCTGTGAGTACCTACAATTAGCATCTGGGTTTTGAGCTGTAGCCCTGCTCCCCTTCTTTTCATTCCTCTCTGCTACTTGTAATAAGTAATTTACTGATCCATGTCCTCAGAGCTCCAGCTGTTGCTGTGCAGCTACATAGAAGCGGCAAGAGAAAGGGACTCGACCGACCTGAATCTTTGTAGTTGCTTAGACACACTTAAATGGTTTTGGGGGAAAAGGAAACTCTCTTCTTGTGAGGAGGACGAGGAAGGTCAAGCTGGAAGGGGGGTTAAGGTGATCACCTTTTTGCCCTGCTTGTCCGAGACTGCTTGAGAGCCCATGATGTGAGTCAGTGAGCTCCCCGGGGCTGCTCTGTTGGTTGCTGAACTACCTGGAATCTCCTCTGTACATCTCCAAAACCACTCCTGGTCTATTGTTTATCACTAAGAGGTGCAGTCACTCCTTGGGCAGAGCCTTGTGAGAGGGAACATGCTTGGGTAGGTCTGGTTACATGCACACAGCAACCAAAAACAGAGAATGGACTATTATGGTGAATGTAAAGAAAGGAAGAAATCCAACCGGACAGAGAGCAAGCAAAAGCATGTGCTCACAGAAACTTTTCAATTAAGTGCCAAAAGGCAGACCAGTGGCACCATGCTCCCTGGCTGCTTGAGGCTGCTCTGTGTGGTGTAAAAAGTGCTGGGACGCTGGGAGCGCGGTGTGGGACACATACGTTCTTTGGCGTCCTGGGGAGAGTTGCGTGATAACATTTCACTTCCCCATTTATCCCCTGCGTAGCTGGCAGGTAGCTTGTGAGTTGGGCTGGATGGTCCATATCCCCTGGGGCTTGGGTCTCCTTTGTACCTCTGGTTAGACTAGGTGATAAGAAAGAAAGAAAAAAAAAGTGTATTTTGTTTTAACACTTTTCATTTTCTTAAACTTTTTACCTCCCACCCATGATAGCAAACTGAGGGGCAAATTGCCATGTTCTCCCTGTGCTGATCTGGGGCAGCTCAGCTGAGACTGATGAGAGCTCAGATGGAGTTGCAGGGAAGAAGTTAATTTCTGGGGTGTCATGGGAGCAAATACAACCGAAACCAAAGGCTGAAGACTGTGTGAAGGCATTTACAGCCCTGGAAAACATGTCACACTCACCACACGGAGAGGCATGGTGCTTTTTGCTTGCTTATTACTGCTGTGAATGACTGCTCTCACATGTGTGACTTGGCCCTTTAGCCTTTGCTATGCAGGCATTACTGCTCATAGGGCTTCCTTGGAGGTGGAGAGCAAGGGAAGCAAAAGGAATTTTATATGAGAGAAAACACACAGAAATCCCATTTGAAGCCAAAGCATTACTCCTCTGGATGTTAAGTGGGACCCCTGCCAGTGCCCGGGGCAGTCTGGAAAGAATTTTTTGACATTTTTTTGATTAAACCAACGGGGATTTTGTCCAAAGGTCTGCTGGGGCATCTTATGTTTTGCCCAAGCTGTGAAATACCAAGATGAAAAAGCAATTCCATGCTTCCTTAGGGCATTTAGAGTTCTCCAGCTCCACATTTTTGCAATGCAAGGTGCTTGAGAGCAATATTCACTTAATGCTCACTTAGATGGTATATCCATTTGCCTCCACTCCAGTAACTTGTTCCTGCTGCTGAACTGAGCCGGATGAAGGAACTGTCTGTCTTTTGTTTAATCCCCAACAGAAAGGTCTCAGCATTTTTGTGGCAAAATTAGCTTTTATGGCTGCATTAGCTCTTTCATTGTGTTCACAGCACAGCCCTGAAAGCAGCAGGGTTTCACAACAGAGGAGGTGGTAAACCATAGGCTGAGAAGTATGTGGGCTTGAGGGGGAGGGCTCTGGCAAAAGGTGGAACTCTTCCAAGCTGCTGCGGCCCGCAACTGTTTGGTGACATGTCAACATGAGACCTTTTCCATTGGGTGACAAGTCTTGGTGCTGTGATCCGGTATCACCTCATAGCAGGCTGCTGCCTATAGCCCAGGACTCGTCTTTTCCCCTCCCATAACCCTGCTCCTGCCAGGCACCCTTGGCAGCAGGCAATGTGCTTGGCATCTCGGAACAGAAGGAAAGCGGGAGGCTGCTGCACGGATGGGAAGGATGGGCCTTCTTTGGAGAGGGGGGAAGGTAATGGTGGCAAAATGTGAGAATTTTATCATAGGATACTCAGGAATCTCCAGGATCCTGGTTCGTCTGCTTGTGAGGGTTCATCCCAACTTGTGCACAGCACCCCAGGGAATCCAGGGAGGTCTAATTACAAGATTGTTCTCAGGGGCTGATGATGCCCTGCAGCTGGCTATCAGTTAATTATCACTTGACTACAGACCTGTTCGAGCTCTTCCAGTTTCACCACATCCAGGATATTATAAGGGACATAACCTGCCTGCCCACTCCGGTTAAGCAACTTCCACCACTGCTTATTATCTTCCAACACCTGAGAGAGGGAAAAAAAAAAAAAATTTGCTAGTGAGAACATCAAATTTCTGGCATACGTAAATGGCATATAGTGGAAATAAGCCACACAGTAATGTGAAGTTGTCAGAATACCAGCCTTGAGGCCAGGAGTGGCACTCATTTGCAATTCAGGACTGAAGCCTGTCCTGAAAAGCATCAGAACTCATCCTAATGAAGAACGAGAGAGTATCTCTGGGGGAAAACAGATCTGGGGTGTTGAAGAACTCATAGTTCCTACTTAATTTGCCTGTTTCTCCATCTTCTTTTTTTTTTTTTTTTTTTTTTCTAGTGACTAAGTTTGTGTTATCTTTTTGCATTAAAAAAAAAATTGAGTGACTCCTGCCAAAGATGCCAGAGTGTTATCATGTGACTTGAATCACGTCACATCATAACGCATAACATAACACAGCATAACCATGATGAAGCAAGGAGACTGCCTGTTGCTGAGATATCTCCTATTGTTCCTGTCCCCTCACTCCTTTCAGCAGGCTTGTTTTTACCCAGAACTGTGATTTTTTTTAAATTTTTGTTTTTAAAGTAATCTTCCCAGAATGGATGAGCTTCAGTGGCAAGGCCCACACGTATTTCTCATTCTAACTACATTTTTGAACCAAAGTCTTTTTCTCAAGTCATAGTTCTGTTAGTGTATAGACCAAGTCATGTCCTACATTCTCCAGCTGTGCTGCAGTAGGAGAAAGGTTATGAAAAAGATGTTTTCATAGAAAATAATTCCTTGGGGACGGGGGAGCGGTAATAATGAACACAGGCCCAGCGAGTGGGTGAGCAGTGTACTACAGTGACTTGTTTTCCTTCCTCCTCATTGCTAATTAAGATGTGACCCATGTGTTTCAGCTGAGCAAATGAGCCAATGCATACAGTCAGCCTGAGCTCAGATAGAAAGCTTTAGATTTGAGCAAAGCTTTGTGTTACTGCTCAGAAAACACCAAGCAAAAATGAGTTGCACTTGCCAGCATCTAGAGATGGCTCTCCTGTTCCTGGGAAGGGCAGGAGGATATGCCTTTTCCCCCAGCATGTTCACTTACCTCCAGGATTTCATCCTTAAGCACTGAGAGTTCATTGGCATTTCGTGCGGTGAAATCGTAGCGGATTTTGGCATATCTCTTCGGCTGAGCCATCCCTTGTGCCTCAAAATTCCTGCAGGAGAAAAAAAAAAAAAAGAGTTTCAATGGAAGACCATCTAATAACTAGGGCAATATCTGTTCACTGACAAAAGAGTGAGGACTGTGTGTGGGGTGCAGGTGTAGTATTGCAGACAATCGTGTATGTGTTAGGAGGAGGCAGTGCCTCTTTGCAACTCTATTTTGAGGAAGATTTTAAGCCCCAATTTTAGTGAAATACCCTGTGTTTGGGAAAACAAACAAAGGAAAAAAAAAAGCTGTAGGGCTGTTTGGTTAGTGGCCTTACTGGGGACTGTGAGGCTGCTGCTTTAAGGGTGGAAGAAAAGACTTCTTCCTGGGTTAGTTGTTGCTTTGCTGCAGCAAGGGCTGGGGAGACTGACAAAGCACAAAGTGCTCTGATTGCACCTCCTGTGAAAAATAAGTGTGAAACCCTCATGTCCTAATAAGTGGAAACACCTGCCCCATGTGCTGGAGCAGGGGAGAAGCAGGCATCAGTACTGGGAGAAAGGAAATTGAAAAGGAGTGTTGGTAGAACCAACTGGAAATCTATGTTTTTTTCATCAGGCAATGAATGCTGAGCTACAGAAACAGAATTCTGCTGGTTCCCAGAAAAAGTGAGTTTGAGTGTTTCTATTCTAAGATACGTTTTGGGGGGAAAATGAATGTGTTTAAGTATTTTGCTTGGGGATTTCTGACATAAGAATATATTGCTTTCAATGTTGAACTGACTTTTCATTTGAAGAGAGAGACAAAATAAATATGGTAGATTATCAAAAGTGGAAAATGATGGAAAAAGTGGAACGAAAGATTTTCTTTGACCCAAACGGAAATGATTTATTTTTTCATAATTTGGGGGGGGGAAGGTGGAGGGGGGTTGCCTGACTTAATAAAATTTTGCTGATCTTGTTTTTTTTCTTCTCTGGTTAGGATGGATGTAGTGTTATTTTTTAATTCCAAAAACGTCTGCACCATGGAGAAGCAGTATTGCTTTGTTTTGTAAGGGCAAATAGGAACTATTTTAATGCACCTTCTATGGATCTTTCTGTTTATGTCTTGCAATCTGCACGGGTACCTGCTGCAGAAGGCTCCCGGGTGCCATATGCACAGTGGGAATGGTCAGGTTCTCCTCCAGCCTATGCCAAGTTCTTTGTATCTCAGTGAAGCTGGTGCTTGCAGCACTGCTAGGGACTCTGGTTTTTAGCCTGATGTTTTTCCATTGCCAATTTCTTGGGTTTGGTTAGTGATTTTAATTCTGTGATCTGTGGGAACTCGGCTCTTTGTGAACTGCTTCTGAGGCATCTGTCTAACCTGACTTTGAAAAGCAACCCCATTACGCTTAGTTTCAGTTCATTTTACTGTCTGCATTAGATGGCTTTTGGTGGTCTAAAAAAGGTTGAAACTGCTGGTTCAGTGGTTTGATATCGTGCCTATGACTGTAGTGTTGTCTTTAGTTCGCTTGATTTGGGACAGCTTTTGGTCTAGTTATGGCCACGTGTCATAGGGAAGTTGCGAGTCTGCAGTAGGGGAGAGCTTGAATCCACCGGTCACAAAAAAGAGTGGTGGTCTTACCCAGCAGTGCCCTGAAGGTAGGGAGAGGGGAGGAAAGCCTCAGTTAGGTAGAAATTACTTCTTTTGTAGCATTCCAGAAGGTGGAATAGTCATGCGGAAAGAAGTGAAGGCTGGAGGAGTTTGAGTGAAGGCATGAGAAGTTTTATATGCAACTAGATTTTACACAGGTGACCTTTGCCAATTATTGTAATATTGCTTGGGGCTTTCATGATGCTTCTCTGCAGCTAAAAACCCTGGTGTAAATAACAGTACTGATGCTTGGGTATTTTTGTTAATATATGGCCTTTTGGTTAGAAAATTAGTTCAAACTACGCTGAAAAAAAGCATGAGTATAGCAGGAAACATGTCTGTCCCCGGACTGTCATCTTGGCAAACATCTGGACAGACTTGGCTGAGATCTGCTCTGGACTGAAGAAGATATCTAAGCACATTCTCAATCTTAGCATCTGCTTCAGTGCTGTTAACTTTTGTTTTTTTTCTTAAATGTTATCCATAAGGAAAACTTGCTGTTGACAGTCTGAAAGGTAGGTAAAAAAGTACACGCCACCTGTCCCAGGAGAAGCAGCACCTATCTATGCTCACACTGTAGTTGGACTGGGTGGTGTCTCGGGGAAATGGTCACTTTACTAAAGAGGCATGCTGTTAATTTGTGTCCCAGGACTTGGTACTACTGTTTGTGCTGAGACTAACAGATGAAAATGTTTCCTTACGTGTGTTATCTACCAGTCACTAAAGATGGATTTAAATGTTCTCATGTAAACTAAGTTCTCCTTAGTTTTTATAACCTCACTGAGAAAAATGGAATTGGAGAAGAGAATTTGTTGTAATTCTTTCCCTACTCAACACTGTATCTGTACTAGTTTATGGTCCCACCAGGACCTTTGATTGGGTTAATGAGAAGAATAAGTTATTTTGCTGATATAACTGGATTTAAGGTATTTTGCTGTGAATTTGAACTTTTTTGTAGTAGTAGTAGAACTTGATAAATCTTTTAGATTAGAACACAAAACCATGAAAAAACAGTCTGGCTTGAAGGATTTGCCCACTCTAGAGCTGCCTACAGAAAAGCGCATGGGTCTGGACTTGCAGTCTTTAAAGATTTGATGTTGATAACTTCATGTCAAATCACTGTAAAGCAGAGTATGGCAGAGAATTATTTTGCAATTTGGGAAGAGTTTGTTGTAACTCTGAAATTCTCCCAAGATCTCAAAGGCATAAGCCCGTGTAAGCAAGCAAGAGGATGAAAAGCCTCTAAACTTTGAACTGAAAGTATTTTCATAATGATTTTATACCAATGCATAACTGGTGATAGAAAACTAGCAGAATGTTTGGTTAAATTGTGAAAGAGCCATCTTTCTCTTGGAAAAAACCTGAGGCAAAAGGTTGGTTCCGAGTTGGGAACAGAACTTTCCAAGACTTCTGAAGAAAGGAGAGGTTTTTCCCTCATTTTCTAGATTTATCTCGTCCAGAAGAGTTTTCTGAAATCAATGCCCTGTTAGGTTCCTGATGGAGAGATGGGCAAGATGGGAAACACATTCTTGTTTTATTCAGCCTCTAATAATGTTTTTCTCTTTGGTTGTGTCTAAAAGCAAAAGGAGGAGCTGCTGCCTCCAGTGAAACAAGCTGGCAGTGCCTCAGTTAAAATGTTCTCGGTGCAGTGCTGCTGGGGTCTGGCTGCTCTTTCCCAGAACTGCCTTTTTCAAGTGGAAAACTTGCACGTGCTCATGCCTTAATACAGATTCCTCCTATGAGCAGGTTCTTTCTCTGCAAGCAGTTGTGGCTGTAGGAAGAATGGAGAGATACTAGCTTCTCTAAATGTATGGAGAACAGAAGTGCAGCACAGTATCTTTGAGACATGATCCTTAATATCGCTTTGGGCTGATGTTATGAAACCAGACCTACTCATTGGCTAATGAAGTCAGTCAATATTTTTGCCTCTTGTGGTGGAAACCGCATGTAACCATTCCCTTGTAGACCTGATGGTGATTAAAAAGCAGACAGTGTTTACATGAGTAATCCCTCCTCTGATCTCTGAGTTCTCTTGATCTTGTTAACAGCTCTGAATTAATAATGGCAGAGAGCTACAGGATGCCAGAACATCCTGATGTCATGATATGATGCAGTGGGTGCTCATGAGGTGACAAGGTGGGAGCTGAGCCCCATTGTCCAGAGTGGTGCTGGTACGTTACCTATTTACATGCTGAGTTACATTCTGTTTAAAGGCATCCACAGCTTGTGTCTGATCCGTGGTCTGGCCACGCTTGAGCGAGGAGTTACGGTAAGGATATCCATTGGCTGATGATAGCTGGAAAGGCAAAAATGGAGTCAATGTTCCCAGGAAAGAGGAAGGCTGTATCACAGAAGAGGGTGCTAGATGAATCATGGTCTAGAAGCTTTTGGTCATGATAAGGTACACACAAAAGAAATGTTCTTCAGGCAAACCTGTATCCATGGGGCTCAGTTACAGTATAGTATCCTATTTCCTGTTGATAGGAGGTGAGGCTGATTATCACTACCCTCTTCTGGCCTTAATTTCTTTCTGTATTTAACTGGAATGATCAGATCCAATTGAGTTTTGAGCCACCTACTTGTTACACACCACTGTAAACTCCACAGATCCATGTCTCACTGAAAAAGGGGGAGGGAGGGGAAAAGAAAAGAGGATGACTGGGGCCGCAAGACTAACCTCTTCTTGCAAGTGTCCAATGTCTATTTCCCAGGGAGCTCCGCGGAAGATTTCCACGGGTGGTTCCCAGCCATTGCGGAATTTGGGGATGTAGGTGGGGATGTTTGCTTCTCGGGGCCACTCAGCTCTAGGACATGAAGCAGGGAATATGTGGTGAGATTCACAAGGAACATGTCTCTGAAAGCATGTCAGGGAGAAGCAGGGGCATCAGGGCATCATTGACCCTCTGACATGGCTATAAAATCAAGCACCCCCTCTGCATTTCTCAAGAGCTTGGGGAACCTGGTGAGATGGCAGCTCTGTCCTCACCTGGATCTGGTCCATGTATCTCCCAGGGAGTCCCAGAGGTTTATCTCTTTTGGTGTCAGGTGTCCTCTGAGGAAATCTGTGGCGTCTTTGGAAAGAAGTGGGCTGACGACAGACCTGGCAAGCTCAGGGCCACCACAGCTACTGATGATCTGGATTAAACACAAACACGCACAAATGTGAGAGATTTTGTAGGAAATGTCCAAAATATCAAACCAGCACACCCACAAAGTAACAGAAATCAAAGATAGAAAAATCGGTGGCTATGATCCTTTGGAGTTGCTATGCCTGCCCGCTCCAAAGGAAACCAATGTACCCTCCATGGTGAGTATCTCTGAAACCAAGCTAATTCACGTTAGACTTGCACTTCCAAAGTTCTTCTCCATGCCTTTGTATGTAAGGCTGAGGTTTCACAACACAGATGAACTGAATTAATGGTTTGCTGTCACCTGAAAGGGATGCTATATTCCCTCAGCATCCCCTTATTATCCTTGTGCTGCACTGATAGTATTTGATTGGCAGATTTTGTCTATTTGCTTTTTCTTAATAAATAAGACATATAGGTCCTGACTAAATTCTCCACAATATAAAATGAAAGCTAAAGGGCAAGCCTTCATGCCAAAAGGTGGCCTGACTCCTGTTGGCCACAGCTAATCCTTAGATCAGCTCAGTTGTCTCAAGAAACATCAAGCTAAATCTTTGAAGAAGACTGGACAATTCAGAGGAATTTTTCTAATGGAGTCAAAGCAAGGTCTGATCTAAAATTTAGCCGTTGGTAGGGTACGTTGCAGGCTGCCATTTAAAAAATGGAAAATCACTTGGTATTTCTGTGTCCCTTCTGGCAGCTCTTTCAAGTTGGGATTCCTGCTTCCTATTTTCAGTGCAAATATTGAGCCGTGTTTGCTTGAAGATGAGATGAAGCAGATTCCTAATTGGTACCATAGTTGGCTTGCACTTTTGTTCACCATAAGCCTTTATTAATGGGGCGGAAAGATTCATATTTACTAGGGCTTGTGTGTTTACTTCAAGTCGGGAGTCAGCTCAGAGGCCAGAAACACTGACGTTGTTGCTTCTGGACTTTACTGAGAAAGCTTTAGCCAGTTGTGAGCAGTCTTCTAACTCTTCTGCATAACCTAACTGACTGTAAGTGCAAAATCAATGTTAGAAATAAGAAGTGAGTTCACAGTGAAATCTGTGAATCGGATTTACCAGTTCCAGTGGCCCAAATAGGAAATGCACCAACTCTGAAGCGCTGGGGTTCTGGATGTGCTTTCTCAGTTTGGCCTGAAAAGAGAAAGGAAACCCAGTTTAACCCTAACATGATTTTGCCTTCTCTTTTCTGTCACGTGAAGGGATTGCTGCTGACTGATATTTTCTATAGCTAATAACACAGCCTAAAAAGTAAGGAAACTTTCAACAGTGCACCTTAAATCAGGGAAAGAATGTTAGTGGTTGGGGAATAGAAATGGTTCCATTTTAGATAAGTTTTATGTCCATTCATAAGGGTGTTGAATTTCAGGAGGGGTGGAGTACCTACTCTGTTAAAATCAGTCCCTTTGAAAGTATTTTGGCCAGAAGCAGAAAACCTTGGCTTATTTTGAAAGCCTTGGTGAGGAAGGACCAGGCCTATTGCTTCGGACTCTTGCAAAGTTGAAAATCCAACTAGTTCCCATAAAAACAAGAGAGCAAGTGTTTTGTGGGTCTCTTGGCAAATTGGTGACAAGGAAAAATCTCTGCCAAGGTCTTGCCTGCAGCACCTAGAGCTGCCCTGGCCACTGAATTGGTTGGTATTTGGAGTAGACTGTGGTGAAACGGAGGAGCAAATGCATAGGATTACTTTACTGTAAGAACTGCATTTCATTAACAGCAATCAGCAGAGCTGTGGTGAGAAACCACTTCAGCTTGTGCTTCCTTTCATGTTTCTTGTGTCCTGTGCTACTGGCATTGCTGCAATGGAAAACAGACTTCCTCCTCCCTGCTGAAATGCAAAGCATTTTAAATGCTGGTGATTAAACAATAATGTGGAGTGGAAAGTGTGAAATAACTGGTGGCAACGAGGTGACTAAATGAAATGGCACTTCACAAGGACATGGCAGCCCCATGGCACGTGACAACAGTGCTGGGGCAGCCATGTCAGTGCTCTACCACTGATTCCCTACTCTCCTCCTTACATGCCCCTGGCCTCTTGCCAGGAAATGAGCTGCTCTTTGTGGGTATGTGGGCAGCAAAGTCCAGGGCCTGAGTGCAGGGAGAGCCCAGGCACGTGTACGAATTTCCTATGTGTTAGCTCCCACACTGACGGGGGAGCTGTGGCAGTGCTGAGCTCAGGGGACTGTGTGCAGTGCCCAGGGAAGGACCCAAACCCCAGTGCAGATCTGAGCTGTGATCAAAGGTTTGGCTGACCACACCGACTTTACTGTATTTCTTTCTTTATGCTAGGAGAATGCTCAGCTCCTTCTTCGGGGAAGCTAACATCCCACTGGGGATGTGTGGCATGGCCCTAGCAGGGCGCCTGATCAGTTTGTGCGAGGGCAGTGATTGCTGGCCAGAGCTGCCACCTCCAAGACTCAGTTCTGGTTCTGAGCAGCCAAAAATTATGTGTATTTGCTTCTGAAAGAAAAGGCCGGCGCTTGGTGTCCTGCATTAAGGTTGTTTATGATCTCTGTGGTTTGATGACTAATAAATTCTCAGGAGGGATCTTGTTAGGTTGTGTTTGCTGGGCAAGTCTGGTCGGAACTAACAATTTCCTTCTGGCTCGTCACCCTCCTGGTCTCACATACTTCCCTAAGCGGAGCTGGCAGCACTGGGAACATCTTTATGCTCTTGCTTTTCATCCCCTTCTTAAGACAGCAGCTCCTCCAGGGGAGAAAGAGAGGAGCCAGGAACCTTGAGGGCAATGAGAGGGATCAGTTATTTTTAACTGGAGAATGTCCAGGCTGCTGGCTGAGGCAGCTTTACAGCTGCTCTGTAGGCAGAATCAGATAGAACAATTTAAAGTAGATGAGACTTTTTTTTTTTTTTTTTTAATATTTGCAGTCTTCCAAGGACTACAGCTCTCACAAAACTACCCAGACTGTTAAAGGCCACAAGCAGAAGTAAGTATCTGGAGTAGGGATGTCTGTCAGTAAGGTGGGTATGGCAGTTCTTGGCTCTCTAAGCTCACAGCTTCACAAATGCTTTAAATCAGGACTGTGTCTGAAGTGAGATCCAGGCATTGCAAGCGCCTTGGCTGCTCAGTCCCATCCTGGACTTTATGCTTCTAATTTCAGCCTAACAGCTTGGCCCAAGAAACCTCCACAAGCCTGGCACAATGTTTATTCCAGATTCTGAACAATCTGGAATTCACACCTTTGTCTCTTGATAGTGTTTTCAGTTAAAATTTCACTTTTAAATGCTTACTGCTGTGATAGATGGGAAAAAGCCCTGTCACTGCATGGGATGAAAATACCCTTTGTGTCTTACCAAGAGGTTAAAAGCCAGTTTGGTTTTCTGGAAGCAGTCGATGAACTCAGCCTCGCTTGGGGGTCTTGCTCGAAGAGTCAGCATGCCCTCTTTCATGAGAAGGTGGAGAGAAAGACACTTTAATTAGAGCATCCCTTTTCAGGAAAGTTTCATCTTGCTGGCATGCAGAAGGTAGAGCAATAAATGGGTGCTGAGACTAGAACTACTGAAAATCAAGGGTTCAAGAAAAGCCAAAAGTCTTTCTCTGTATTGGAGGCTTCACTAGGCTCTGTGTGCTCTACAAGAGGTCCCCACAGACCCTCCAAGCTGGTGTAGCTGCTCTTGGGTCTATAGCCGTGTTCCTGCATCAATCTGGCCTTGCCAGGATGTGAGCTGAGGTCTCCTCCCAACCTTCATCTGTACCCGTGAGTTCCCCATTTGTTCTAGCTGCTGTACTGTACCTGCTGGCCCTTTCTTCTTGTTCTTCTTCCCTTTCTTCCTTTGGTTGAGCTGTCTGAATGCCTCTGCAGCCTTCTGAAGCCTGGCGACAAACACTTCAATGTCATCCAGAGTGCAGTTCAGGATTTGCTGTGAGGACAGAAATGCAACAAACCACAGTGAAAGAGAGTCCAAACTGCACACAGCTGGGAAGCCCAAATCCCAAAGCGTGCTGCTCTGTGCCTGCTCCATTTCCTGGAAGAATGCACAGGAATGGGGAATCCGGGCATGAAATGAAGCTGAATTCATCACTTTCCAAACACAAAGCTGTGCCTGGTTGTGTGCTGTATTTATCAATGTGACAAGTGACCCCTGCTAATGGACGTCTGGAAAATAACCGCAGGACCGGACTGTGGGCTGGGGAGGAGCAGACCTTCTGAAGTCAGCAGAGCTACCTTAGGTCAAAGGAGATTGTAACTGACCCAGTGATGGAGATTTGCTTTTGTTCACCTTATCTTTTATGCATGGTAGATATCAGTTGAACAATGACTAGATTATGCATAAAATGTCTGCTCGTGGAGGAGCCCCTTGCTTCCTTCCTCTCTTTTCCCTCCTCTGCTAATTGACTGTGCACTGTTCTTGTTACCAACCGTTTCTTTTTCAATCTTCTGTGCTAAGATGGCTCGGGACTCTTCATGGTCGTGAGACCCGGAGCCTCGTCGTTCATAGTCTGCAAACAAGGGAGGGAGAGAAAAATATCTTTACAATCAGAGGTTTAAAATAGGCTCCATTAAATGTAGGGACCCATGGGGTGGTAGTTCCCAGCTTGGTTGTTTATTCTGGGTTATGAGAGCACCTCAGGAGATCAGAGAGCAGGAGGTGATCAAAGGTGCCGACTAAATCTTCCAAGGTCACAGCACCTGCCTGCCAACCCTCGGTGTTGATACGCTGCCTGTTTCCAAATATAAGCAGCAAATGAGTTGTGAAGAGCAGAGACCTGCAAGCCTCAGTCTCCAGGTGCTGTGAGTCACTAACTCCCTTGCCTTTGATGCATCTCAGCGGATTTACGCCAGCAAAGAAGCTGAAGAGTCACTGCTCGCATGGTGGAGTGCTCCAGATGTGTGTAAAGTGCAATTAGAGTAACTCCCACCCTCTCTTCTGACCCCCAGCTATTTGCAGGAGCCTTTCTTGTCCCAGAGGTACCAGTTTAACTAAATAGAAGAAATAGGACTGGGAAGTGAATGCAACTGTCACTTGCTAGAAAGCAGCATTCCAGGAATTCTGCATGACTGATGTTTAGGCAGGCCTATGCACAAATCGGCATTTTTGTACAAACTGGTGTGCAGTCTCTCAAATGTTTTTAATGGGTATGGAAAAAAAACCTCCTGCAATAAAAAAGCACAGGCACCTCCCAGCTTCCAGAAGACAGGCACTCAGTAAGGGGGTGGTATTTCAGTGTGAACAATTGCTTGGGTCGCCTCTTGTGAAAAGAATAACGTGTCAGCTCAGTGAAATGGGGTCTGAAAGGGCCAGCACAGCAGCTGTTTGGACAGCAGGATATATAAAGTGGGAGAACTGGGGGAGGCAGTCTTGGCAAAGGACTGTGAAAAATGTACGTCATCTTGAAGTGTTAAGATGAGATGATTAGTTGTGACAGGCTTTGTAAAAAAAGCAATAAGGCATGTTTCAAAGGAGAAGCGATCTTAGCAAACAGGCATCATTCAAGGCTTTCTTTTGTTACCTGCTTTCATGCCAGGCTCTGTTCTCAGATACCAAAATCCTGCCTGGGTGAATGCTCAGCTCTGCTGATGTAAGCACCAGCCTTAAAGCTTTCTACTAAGCATCCTGGAAAGGGCAGAGTTAAGGGTGGCTGTTTCATTAAAAATTGCTGTGCATTAGCATATAGATGTTTATACATGGTCCAGATCTGAAATACAGATCTTATTTTCATTCTGCCAAACTGAACCTGAAATAGGCTCTCCATTCAGGAGGCTGGAGCAGCTGCTTGGCTTCAGCTCCTGTCCAGGGGAAAGGAGTGTTTTCTATCCTCAGGTGGTGTTTGGAGTTTCTTATAGTATCCTGATTATTTTCCTTGAACCTAGAAATTAATCCTAAAAGAAGGTAGCATAATAGGCAGTGATAAGACAGGCATATAGTTTGCTCATTGTTTTAGTCAGTTTGAGCTTTTGTCAGAGAAAGAGCTTATTTCTGTTACTTCTTTCTCCATAGAGATATACAAGGTTTTTTTCAAGACAGCTCAAACAGGCTGAAGTCAGGATGGTTTTGAAATAAGGTTTTTAGATTAGCACATGAGAGAGCTGAGTTCAGATCTGCATTTCCACACCCAACTCTAGGAGAATTCATGCAAACCATTTGATTTCTGAGGGCGAAGTCTTGGCTCTTGTGAAGTCAGCGGAGCCAGGAATTTGCCTTTCTGACTGGGCCTGCCTTGTCTGTATGTTTTAAGATAACTGGTGCCTGGTCCAAACCTCATGTGGTAGCTCAGTTTTCTGATGGGCTTTCACCTATTTTGGGAATTTCAGTATCCCCAGAATACAGGTGTCATTGCAAGGAGTTTCTGGTAGCTTTGATTTATCGAGCTGTCATTGAGAAGATGCCTACTGCTAGCCCAGTGGGTACAAAAGTTTGCTGTGGCCTAATTTTTAGACATTTACAAAACATAGCCAGAGATGCAACAAAATGTTGTGCCTTTGATATGTGTCTGTGTTCCTTTATAACACAGTGTAAGGACAATGGTCTTTCCTGTGTCCCAGCAGTACAGGGCCTGAAATGGCCATGGACCATTTCAGAAGGGCCAGCTGGCTGGGCTAACAAGTCCCTCGTCCCCAGGACAGACTCTGAGTGCTCCCAGTACCCGGATTGTGCTGGGAAGGAGGTGCCACCCGGTTCCTGTTCATCGCTGAGCCCCGCGTGTCGTGCTGGATGGGGATGGGAGCCGGCCCTTGCGGTGGTGGGAGGATGGATTGTCTCTGCCTGATCTTTTCTTGGTTTGCTCTGCAAGGGAAACAGCAGAGAACAACCCTGTCAGTGGCTGCCGATCCTGTTTCCAAGACTGGTATGTGAATGCACTACTGTAAACAGGGTGGTGTTTTTTTTGTTTTGTTTTGTTTTTTTTTTTATTCCTACCTATATCCTGCAGTACTTACTTGAGTGTCTGTGGGCGTATCTTCTTCCCATGCTTGTGGTCTGCCAGGGCACTTTCTATGTCCTCATGAACCATCTCCGCCTCAAAGAGAAAGCAGGGATGTTTTTAAGAGCTTTGCTTTGGAAAGGATTGAGGGCTCTAAGTGGGCAAAGGAAGGAAGGGGCTTGCAGACAGCTAGGAGCATATTTTGTTCTCTGTGTCACACCAGCAAGGAGAGCTCTGCTCACCTCCACCTCGTCGCAGTTGAAGAAGTGGATGTCAGGTTTGTGCTGCTCCGAATCCTGACACACCAGGAGGAGGATGGAGGAATAGCGCATCTGATTCAGCACCGTTTGGCAGTGCTGGACTGTCGGCAGAGGGAAGTCCTCCAGCTCCTCCTGAAAAGAAAGAGGAAGGGGTCAGGTAATGGGGAACTATGGAATCGACAGGGAATTGTCATGTGTATGAGCTCCTGGGATCTCTGTTTGAGGAGAGGCAGAGGTTGTACTTCTCAGCAGTGGTTTGCTGTGCTCTTCAAAGCTACATGTCAAGATTTGCAGAGGGGCGGTGGCTTGGGACTGCAGAATAGGAGAGAGGTGGATGGCAGACAGTGAGAGCCCAGCGCGGGGCCTGGTATGAGACTTCAATAACTTGAGCTTTGTAGCTTACCATCGTCTTACTGCTGTGCTCTACCTGCACCAGTACACTTGTCATGCATCCAGCAGAGCACTGGGATGAAAGATGCTTTTTGAGGGGCTTACCCTCCCACTGTCTCCTTGGATGACCTTGGGCGATATTCTTTAATTTTTCATTGCTAAAATCAGGAGGGTAGCACCATCCCTCTCTCGCTATCTGGCTGCTCTTCCCCTCAGATTAGGTGCCTTGTGTGCATGTACATGTATCACCCATCAAAATGGGGCATTGTTCTCAGGCAGGCGACCCTGCCTGTTATTTTAATGCAAGCAATATGTCCTCCCCTCTCTGCTTATGCTTTATGCAGATCTCTGTGGACCTGCAAGTCTGCATCACTCCCACAGAAAGCAGTTTTAATGTTGTCCAGGAGCACAGCTCAAGGTATCTTTCACCTGGAGTATCTGTGCTGTGGAGCTGTGAATAAATCATCCCACACCTAGCTGCCCTTTGAATGAGAGTCAGGCAGCCCCCACACACCCAGACGTGGATTTTGGTAGAGACTGGCCCTTCTTTGGGTTCTTTAGAAATGGCCCTCCCAGGCAGAAGGGAAGGGCACACACTGTACCCTATGCATCAATCTGTGGGGAGCTCTTGCAGAGCTTGGGGTACCTGCGACTCGCAGTCCAGCAAGCGGATGGACTTGTCGTTCACTTGCAGCAGCATCTCCTGTGTCCAGATCTTCTCTTTTGAGTTGAGCAAGATGAGTTTTCGGATAGCATCGTCCACTGTCACGATGGACTCGCTCTTGTCCATGATGAAGGTAGCCAAGTGCTGCAGTTGGGAGGAAAGAGGGGAAAAAACACGTCAAAAAGTTTTGATGGTGTGTGTATCAAAAATCAGTGGTGAAACCATCTTGAGAGGCTTGAACTATTGTTTGTTCTTTACAGCACAGGCATGAAGGAGTTGCTGCAGAAAGCATACATTCTGGTTGTTAGTACCAGCCTGTCCGTGGTGGTGAAAGATTAGGGTTTTGGAACGTAGCAAGGGCTTTCATAATGAGTTTTACCACTTGCATATTTATTTCATCATATGCCAATTCTAGCAGCTCTGGCCCCTGACCAGGAGTGTGTGTTTGTAAATGCTTTGTATGCACGAGTGAGTCCCCTGGCTTTTCTGAAACTAGCCTGGAAGTTTAAATATGGTAACTAAGCTTCACTAGCCAAGCTAAAAGCACCTGCATTTTGCTCATCTCATGTAGCACATCTCCCTTTGTGGAATTTGTCCCAGGCAAAGAGCTCACACAAGCAATGGGCAAATGTTAGTCCTCTGTTCCAAGATGGGATCCACATGATGTGCGGGCTTTGGCCAGGTCCCCTGCCCCAGGTACTCTGACAGGCAGCACAGCCACACCGGAGCAAGACTGCTCCAAACCTGGCAGCTGACTGTACCAGCCCTTCAATCCTCTCATGTTACCTTCCCCTGCAAATTGCTCACATCAGCCCTCCAGACAGTGAAGATTGTCTTTGCTAACTGTAAGAAGGGATTCTTTTGCTACTCGGCTCTGCCCTGCGCTGTGGTTTTGTTAGAGTACCCCAGTTTTCCTCCCTCCCTCACCCATCCCATAAACCCAGCCTAGTGCTCTGCTCACTGCCAGCCTGGCTCCCACGCTGCCCTCCCCTCTTGCGCTGCCCTGTGTGTGTCCTTGGGCTGGGAGCAGCTCACGTAAGGTGGTGATGTCCCAGACTAGACTGCACTCCCCTGCTTTCCCATCCCTGCTCTGTGTCCTGAAGCACGTGGAGTTCCAAGCCTTGAACTTGGCACTGGTATTTACAAAGAGTCTGTAATCCAGCTGCACCTGCAGGCTTTGGATGGCTCCTGGAGCTCAGCGCAAGGGGGATGTTGGGCAGGGACGCAGCTGCAGAAAGAAGTGTGTCGCATCCAAATGGTGTGGGTGCCCCCCTAGCAGTGGGTGAGGGCCACTCCAGAAATCCAGGTAACTTATTTACCTGCCCTCTGATCAGCAGGCAGCGAGAGCAGGCAGTGCTCTCTGTGGCTGGGGAGAATGTGCATCTGCCAGTGGAGTGGACTGCAAGGCAGGAGAAGCTGGGAGATTTGTCTGCTCAGCGCAGCCAGGCTGTTTGCTGTGCAGTTGTCACTACACAAGTGACAGACAGCACAGCCAGGCCTCATGTTCAGGTGACAACAGGGGAAGGGACAAAAAAAAAAATCAGGAAGGAAAAGGAGATGGTGGTGTTTCACCTTGCTCCCTCTGCTGCCCTGCTGTGTTCCCAGTGAGAAGGGAAGGAGAACATGCATGACTGAGAAAGTGGCTGAAGCTTTTTCCTGTTGCAACCAACCTTCTCCAGGAGAGAAAGGCAGGAGGTTGTTGGGTGGACAAATTATAGACCTGACCAAGGCATCTGTGCTGCAGCTGGTCCAAGGGCCTGTTGCTGGGAGGCTTATCAGGCCAGGTCCCAGCTCTTTCTTTCTTCCCTGGAATGTCAATGACCCATCCACCAGCACGACCTGCTCACCCCGGTTCTCCTACTCAACAGCATTAGGGTAAATAACAGGTTGCTGCTGAATCAGCTGTGGGTCAGCTGGAGAGCCATGGAGCAGATGAACCCTTCTGGCAGGGAGACCCAAGTACTGCGGGTAGAGCAGATGTGGGGCTGGGGGCAGCCCCAGGAGCCGTCCTGCTGGGTATTTAGTGTTTGTGTGGATGGCAGCAGTGGAAACTCCTTCTTGTCTTTGCACAAATCCTGCAGCCTGGTTTCAAAGCGAGAGCTGGAAAAATGGGGTGTGTTGAAAGCAAGCTGTGGGTTGGGATGTGAAATTTGAAGAGGCTCTTTGTTTGTAGTACGGGCTTGAGTTTTGCCTGGCTTTTTTTCCCTCTGATCTTTGTGCCTTCTCCCAGTGATCAGACATAACCTTTTCAGTGTTCGGACAGTTTCTTTCTGGTGTGACTCTTTGCTACAGTGGTGACATATCAGGGGTCAGGGTCCAGCATGGCACAAAAAGACAGTTTTTCTCCCAGAAGACTAGCAAGTAAGAGCTGCAAAATGCAAGAAGAGAATGAGAAAGGGCTGGGGGGAAAAAAAAAATAAATCTGTCTGTTTCCTGTAGCAGTCTGAGTTCATGAACTGATTAAATAATCCAATGGGTAGTGCCCACAATTGGCATGTGCCTCTCAGAGTGCAACGGAGGAGGATGAGAGAGTTGCTTGGGAAGGAAGTCCTTTTTTACCTGTAAAAGCCCAGGGAGATGCAAAGCAGGGAGCAGACTGAGGCAGCAAAAGCTGACCCGGAACCAGCACTGTCCTGCAGTGGAAATTGGTTACAAAGGGACCTTGGAGAGGCCGTGAATTTTGGGGTCTGATACAGACCAGATGGATCTGAGGAGGATCCATGCACTCGCAGCATGGAGCCTTGGACGGTCACGTTGAACCACAGCCTGGAACCGTTGTCGCAGTCAGCTCCAGACAAGGTGGATGCAGGGGGAAAGGCTCAAATTTAAATCACTTGTAAGCCCTGACAGGCAGAAAGGGCTGAGTCTTTAAAGATGGTGGTTGATGGTGGCAATTAGGGGTGGAGAGGATTTGTGGTGACCAATTTGTTGTTAAGGAGGTTGTTGCATAATTCACAAAGACTGGAAAGAGCAGAGAAGAGGATAAACACTGCAGAGTGTAAGACCCAAACTTGTGTTCATAAAGCAAAGGTATTGGGTGAGGCACTGTCTAAATAAAGTTCCTGGCAGGTATTTGAGCTGAAAGCTGAGATTAGCCATGCAATCAGATATGAAAAGCATGGTCAGGTGTATGTTACTGTAATCATAAAATAGTGCATGAAAAGGTATTTGCAAAGTCAATATTATCAGTGCACAGGTGACAAACCCATTGCTTTCCAAGCAAGGAAGAAAATTGGTTTATACCTGATGACGGGCATTCTTATCTGTTCTGTTATTTTAACTGCCAGGTTTACAATCTTCATAAATTCCATTGTTGTTTACTGTTAAATAAGTTAATTTTCATGGAGGGAAAAATGAATTGTCTAACTCAGACTCATTGGAACATTTTTTTTCTTTTCCATTTACTTTAGATACTGGTAGAGGGAGAGGAGCTTTCTGCTGTCTTTGATTTATCTCATTAAACCCCCTTTTCATTCAGATGGATATTCACATATAGCAGTTTTTGTTAGAATGGGCAATGACTGTCCGCTATTAAACTTTGATCAGCTTATAGGTTACTTCAAAGGCTGTAAAATACTTCTTGTGAGGAGACCTCTTCCTACCTCACTGCCTGCCACTGAAATCCTGTTTGCTGTGGTCAAAGTTCAAGGTAGAGACTCACAAATGGGTAGCATGTGGCATAATTAATGAAGAATTCACGTATGTGTCACTGTTTAAAGTCCCTTCTCTTCTCCCATGAGTGACTTTATTTGGTAGGAATCACTGATGGGGAGATGGTTGGCAGGGCCACCAATGGGGTGGCTGCCCTTCGAGTTAGTTTCTCTGATGGAAACCAGGGCTTCTTTCCAGATAAATGTTTTTAAAAGCCTGAATTTTATTTTAAGCAACCAGACAGGTTGCTTTATTTCTAACTGTGTACTTAAGCTCTGTGATGGACTAGGGTCTTAAAGCAGAGAGGGCCCTATCTACTGAATAGGAACCTTGTAAAGTGTTTTCCTGTCTTGCCTTGTTTAGTTTTCAGCGATGAATGGCCCCACTGGCCTCTGACAGGCACCTCCGTTCCCACAGTGGCCTGCACCAGTGTGTTGCATTACAGGAATCACTGGGCCCGGGATGGCCAGGCTGGCTCCTCTTTTTTGAGTGGATGTCTGTGACACTGGGAGGTGAATTTGGCTTAATGCCTGTCATGGTTGGAGAGTTTTGAATTACTAAGAGGACACAGTAGCTGAAGGAGAGTTGAAAGATGATAGTGGATGTGGTCTCTGTTGTTTAGGCAGATGAGTTCCTATAACTATGACGGGAACCCAGCTTTTAACCTGTCTGTCCATGATGTCAAGAAGGGTTTGAAGCACAAGGTGATGAGAGGGACAACAGTTCTCACTACTCTTCTTCAAATGCAGAGGAGGGAGAGAGGACAACAGCTTCTTCATTTCCTGTTTCCTTGTACAGAATTTCCCTTGTCTTTTGAATATCTATTTTCTCACCATTCTCCTCTCCCCAACTACTTAACACTTTAATTTGCTGCATCTTGATTATGTGGAAAGGAGATAAAATTTTGATAAGTGATGGTTTTGTATGCCATTTTCAGTTTAAAATTAATGTAGAAAAGAGGTCCGTATGTAATTAAACCAACTTCACATTCTCTAGTGATCATTTTTGTTTTCCCTTCTCATCAACCATTTCCCATCTGCAGGTTGTAATGACAGAATGTGTCTGGCTGAACAACTGATTAGTGCTGGCTCTACAGCAAGTCCCCGAGCCAGTGACCTCCCAAGCACATGTCACACCTCATAGCAAGAGGACAGAGTTAGTGACTTCAAAATGTCCCCAGATGCTGGTTCTACATGTAGCCCAGTGAGGCAAAGGGGACAAACCAGTAACTTTTGAGCCTTCGGTACAGGTCAACACACTGGACATGCAGAAGCAGTGACCAGTCTTTGTTCCTCTACCAACCCCAAAGCAGTCTGTCTGATATGAGCTTCTTTGCCACTTTTTGGTCCAGAGGAACATGTGGGATCTGAGGGAGGGACAGTTAAATGGTTAGGGATGACCAGTGTCCCACAATGTGGGAGAAGCTGTCGAAGTCTGGACCTGCCTTTGTTACAGGGTTTGAGCATGATTCAGAGTCCTGCCATGGGAAAGCTGTTTGTAGCCTTGTAGGAGGATCTTTGAGCTGCACCAGAATCTATTTGCTGGGACTTTCAAATAATGCCATACCATAAGGGAACAACTGCTGGTCTCTAAAGCAAGGAGTTGAAGAGGAGCAGCACAGAAATAAAAGATGACAGGAGAGCTGTCATTGATTTTAGACAGAGAATGCAATATATAAGAGGAGAGGAGAGAAAGGAGAGGGATCCAGTCCAGTCTAAAACCTTTGACTCATAGGAAGAAGTGGGGTCAGTCTTGGGAGAGGAGTTGTCTCAGCACTTGTGCTGCTTTCCTAGTCCTTTAGTTTATCTCCTCAAAGTGTCTGTGGTGAAGAAATTCCTGTGCTCCACCTACATGTGTTCTTTACTTTCCTACCCTTTAGTGCTTGAAGGAATTGGTTGAGAGGACTTGTGCAGTCTCAGCCCCCAGGTCCAGGCTGGCAGGACCATGGTGTCCCACTGCTCAAGGAGTGAAACTACAGTGGATGGCCAAGTCTGAAACTGTGTCCTACAGTCCCGGAGCTAGAAACAGTGAGTGCACCCAGCTGGGTGGGAATCTGAGGAGACACGTTTATCTACAGGCACTGGGGAGCTGGGAACTGTGGAAAAGAAATACGAGGTTTCAGGCAGGTTTGTTTGCCTCTCCCAGGGTGTGAAGAGCAACACTTGCTTATTGTAAGAAGGTTCCCAACTCCCCTTTGACCTAATGAAGGCCCAAGACAAACGAAACACGTTGCACTATCAGCATCTATCACCAATGTTGGCCTTTCAGCCCCTTAACGTTTCATTGCATACTCACCTGTACGTGGTACTGTGAAGTCTCATGCATAATGACATTGGAGTTGGAGTATTTTTTCCTTTGTTCTGGAAAAAAAAAAAAAAAGAAGAAAACAAGACTTCATTGTAGTGGCTGTTTATCAGTATGTCAGGGTCTGAGAATTCATGATGGGGTGCGACAGTCTTTCACATAGTCTCTGAGTTCCAGCTTCAGTCAGAGTATTGGGAATAATAAGACATATTAATGATACTAAGTTTTGTAACAAGAATTGACAAATCGGGTGTGTAGGGTACACATTCAAGTTGTATCCCCTAATGCTACTGATCATTTCATTCCTGGAGGTCAACACCATCTGTGGAAGAAGTTAAATCTAGTGTAAAGGAAAGCCCCAGACAACAAATGATTAGGGAAGCTCTTGGAAGAGGGCTGGAGAGGTGAGGAGCGGCTTGAGAAGGCTGGTGGGAGGCTATGACATGCATGTGGCAAGAACTAAAAATCCAACCACAACCCACCAGTTTGGACAGAACAGCTCTTTGAATTGTCCTCTGGAAGAAACCCTCTGCACTACTGTGGTGGTTTTAGTTTGCTTTCTTGCATCTCCTGGCAAGCTGCAGTAAAGGGCTGTACTTGCAGGTAGTGAGGACTGTAGGGATCAAGGCCAGCCACTCGGAACCTGAGTTTCTTGTACAATAATTTTATGAGGCAACAAATCTCCATTACTTCCTGCATTTCTCCCTGGAAAGTGGCAGTAAAGAGCAATTGGGGAAAAAAAAGCTTGGAATTTCATGAGGCTATTGAATGTATTCCTATCAGAATTTGCCCTGCCAGCTCTTACTCGCTGTTTCATTTGTACTTGTCCAGGGATTCCTTATAAATACTTTGTTTGAATAGCAGAGGAGTAACTATCCAGGCCCAGAGTGATCTGGGAGCATCCGAACTGAAAACCCCTTCCTCACCAGCAGAGGACATCCTCTGATCTCTGGTTTGCTTAAAAAATGCAATGGCAGTTTTATATGTTTATATGTTTTCTTAAAGCCTGTGTTAGAATATCCTGTCCTCTGTAGCAAGTCACAACCAAGAGGATTTCATAACACAGCAAACATTAGCGCTCCTCGTGTTTTAAAGTAGTATATATTATTCTTAGTTTATTTGTGATTTACTTTAAAGCTCTCTTTAATGCCTTCTCAGAGATGCTGGCTTCTCTCTTGTTTATCCCTTTTCTTTGGACACTTCTTAGAGAAGTCAGCCAGGTTTTCCTTGTATACCTTCAGCAGGGCAGGAGCAGGCTCTTTCCTGACAGGTGTGCGTTGCTGTGGAGGAAGGGAGAGTGATGTGTGCGGGTGCTCAGAGGGGGAGTGGAAGGGAGCAGTACTTGCTCTCTGGTCTGCTTTTGTGCTGTTTGCACATTTGTACACTGATTCTTTACAAGTGTATGTTACTGAGGTTGGGGGGGGGGGGACGGGGGGGCACTCCCAGGCTGCTGGCAGAGGAGCTGGGGTGCGTGCAGGGGAAGAAGGAAGGGTGCATGGTGCACACACCTTCCCACCCCATGGGTCTCCTGCCTTGGGTCTCTGCATGGGAAGAGGTCCAGCAAGTGGGACAGGGGGGTAGAGGGCAAAACGGGGCGCACGCAGAAGGGAAAGCTGTCGTGGTCAACACAAGTAGTGACTGAAGAAATGCTCTCTGACAGCCTTTTCCTTCTGCCTATATCCCAGAAAAAATGGTTTCTGACCACTTTACCCCGAGAAAGCACAGTCCCCCGGTAGCTCCCAAACCATGGAGTTCTTTTCTATAAGATCTACTAAGCCTGTCCTTTACGTCTTCTCCAAAGCTACCTGGAATCACTGCAACTCCTGCAAATGGACAAGGTCTCCAGCAGCTGCCTGCTGCTGCTGCTCCGTACTAGTTCAGACAATGTGTCCTGTCCTTCCCTTTCCCTGAGCTCGCTTGAGTGAACTTGTCCCACAAACAGTTGCCCGGGGACAGCGGAGGGGTCAGTGGACTGCAGCAATGGGTCAGAAAAATGAGGGTCAGGATTGGAAAGTGTCCTGGTTTTGTCAGTTAAGAACTGGTTATGATTGAGCACGCTCAAACCTGTTGATTATATCAGACTGCGGGTCTTTAGCACTGTTTTCTTGCTAAGTGTCTGTCAGGTGCTCTTGCTGCTGTGACTTGCCCTGGTTTGGGGCTGCGAAATGCTGGTCAGGCACAAGGAGCTGGGATTGGGACCTGGGGCATACGCAGGTTTGCAGCATGCTTTTGCTTTGGGCTCCACCTTGGTGGTGTGAACTTTTCCCCCAGACTCTCCTCGCATCTCCGTTATACTCTGATTTCTGCTTGGCTTCCATGGAAGGCTGAGCGTGTCACCGAGCCCAGCTGGGGCTCAGGAGGTGCTGCCAGCAGGTGTCTCTCCAGAACAAGCACTGGCCCGAAGGGCTGCTCTCCATGGGGTTTGGCTTGGGGTTTTCACCTTTCTCCTTGGCCAGCACAGAAGAGCTGCTAAATTGAGTTCCTCTTAGTACATCTCCCAAGACCCGGAGCTGAGCACTGGTAGCAAACCTGTCTACAGCTGCAGGAGCATGCTAAACATACAAAGATAGCTCAGAGACAATGAACATGAAAATGTTCATGATGCTGCTTTCGTTTGGAGCCTGGCAAGGGTTGCTAGAAGCTGATTTCTAGTGCTTTTTAACACTTTTCTAACACGCTTTTAAGCTTGAGGTGTGCCATCAGCTTGGCAGGACACCTGAGTACTTTGCACTTGTTATCTCTGTACCTGTCACTGAAAACACAGCAGTGTGCTTTGCCTCTGGCTAATTCCTGGTAGCCCTGAAATGGCTGCTGTTCACAAGTAGAAATGATTTACTGGGGGGCATGTCAGCAGAGATGTTAACTGAGACTGCAGGTCTCTGAGCCGGTGTCTTTTACACCACCAGCACCAAGTCAGAGGTGGAGCAAGGACATTCTTGGGGGGAAAGACCTCAGACACCCAGCACAGCGCTCTGCTCAGCCATTAGCTTCCAGAGTGACCTTGAGTGAATTAATTAATATTTCAGCACGGCCACATCCCACCTTAGGCTCACACCGAAGGGTCAGTGGTATTTTCTGTTTGCTGTGTGTTTTAATTGCAGTCTGCCCTACTTCAAATGTGGGGCAAGGTCTGGTATAGGGCACATGGCAACACACACCACAGGGATTTGTGTCTGATGTAACTTTTTTTTTTCTCTTGGTAACCTCAATTTCCTCACCAAGCATTTCTCATGTAAATAGATGACACTAATGGAAATGAGAACACCGCTCTGTGTGGGATGGAGACAAATTTGGATTCTAAGACATTCTGTCCCCTCCTTTTTAAAAAGGATTGGAAAAGACTGAAGTGGTTTGTCTGGAAATAAAGTGGTTTTATATTAGGACAAGCAAATGTTTGCAGCCCTGAAAGGAGGGGTGCAGAGCCACATCAGGAGCTGGTAGTCCCCAAGTAAGGGAAGGTATACTTGGGGAACATGGTTTCCAGAGGGAGGCTAGCATAGGTCAGTGCTTCTGGTAGGAGAATAGCCTACCAGGCTGTAGGCTGGCTTTCTGGTAGAATGGTAAGGGCTGCAGCTGGTTGCCTATAAACTTTCTGGGGTCACCTCCAATGCCTTTGCCCCATCTTCCAAGCTCAAAGCAGTTAGTTGCATGTGTCATGGTCAGGGGAGATCTTAGCATGCACCTCTGAGAAAATGTTTGGAGAAGCCCTTGGAAATCTTGGGGACCTGTCAAAACCTGAGCTCTGCACAACTTCCCATCACCGGGCTGGGGGAGGAGGCGGGGTAAACTGACTGGAGGGCAAAGACCCCTTTAGCCATTGTTTTCCAGACAGAAGCAAGCCCAGGGGCATGGAGAAAATGCAGCTGTCTGTCCCCCCCGTTCCATCCCCCCCCCCCCCACCCTCTGAGTCTCCCGGGGAGAATTTCTGCATTACCTTTTAAGAGTTGCAGAACTAGAACAAAGTGCCTCTATTTTGTCTCAGGATGCCATTCAAGTGACGTCCCAGAAGCTGCCCAGGGTGAGGAATGGGGTGTTTCTGCATATTCTCTTTCCTGTCCCCTTTCTTTAAGATGCTTGTTTGTTCCTTCTCCTGCAATCCCTTCTGTCTTGTTGGCTTCTACCTGGCCCCCACACCCATGGAAACTTTTATTTTTGTGTTTCTTCCTTGCATCTGCAAATATAACCATGCGGCCTGAAAACAGCCAGGCTTTCCGGGGACAGCAGGGTGCCAGAACACTGAAATCTTCTTTCCTAGCATTTAGTTTTGATTTAAGTACAGGAAGAAATTAAAGATCCAGGCTGCGAATCACAAAATAGTCAGCCTTAGGCCACATCTCTCTGAAAAGTGTGGGTGCTTTAAAAAAAAAAAAAACAAAACAAAACAGGTTTTTTTGTTTGTTTACTTCAAATCAATGTGGTGAAACATTGCAGACCTTTCTGTGGATGCATTGTTATTTGCCCTAGCTTAAATCTGTCTCTGGTTCCTGATGGGCTGAACTGAATATGCCATGCACAGAACGATGCTTGCAGGGAGATTTGTGGCTCTGACTACGGATCAGGGTGAACTCACTTGGCCAGAATAGGCTTCAGAAGACAGGTCTCTTGTCCTAGGTGGCTCCCCCGCTGCCCTTCTGCACAGCCCTGCCCTCTGTCTGCTTAATTTTGTATGAATGAACGCTGGCACATTAGCAGCAGTAGCTAATTTCCTCTCGGTTTATTTGACACCTCTCCTATTAGGATGCTTTGCATTTCTACAGCGTCTTGCAATGGAGAAGACCTGAACGCCATAACCTGTTATCCAAGCCATACCCTGTCCCCAGGAGGTGGCGAATTTGCATAATCCCCATGTGATAAATAAGCATTACAGGAATGAATATAGTGATGATTTTCCCAAAACTAGATGGCAGCTGCTGTCAGAGTTTAGACATCGATGTGCACCTCTGTTTAAATGAATTATCCTTTGCTATGCCCTTTAGAGGCTGTAGCAGTGGAAGACTCTTTGGATGTAAATTGGGTTGGGCTGCAAAGGGCAAGGGGAGCTCAGGGCTGTGGCACT